TCCTGAAATTGCTAATTCCTCGTTTACATTACCAATGCAGTTACAAATACAAATATAATACATTGAAATCAGTCATTCAGCTACCTGAGATGGCTGTAGAAAATCATTGATATTACTTGTCGTGAATAAGATCGTACGACAACAGTTATGCTTTTCTAGAACTAGAGAATCTGGGGAAACAGATGATATGATGAAATGACCATGTTACTGGGAAAACCTGAGAGTACCGTTAGTTTGAAAATGGCTATTCTGGTATTGCAGATCTCTTGTATGCACTGATCAGTGCAGATACAACGCATTGAAATGAGCGCCTCATCTATGTGAAATGGTTTCAAAAACCCTCAGTATTACTTGGAGAAAACAAAATCGCCCGACAACACATATACTACTCTGAAACTAGAGAATTTTAGGAATCCGATAGTGCAAAGAAACGAGCATGTTACAGGGCAAACCTGAGAACAGCATGGACTCAGGATGGTGACCCTGACGCTGAGTGATAATGTATCTATTGATCACTACACTTTAGTGATCAAATAGAGATGCAGTGTAATAGAGTGAGCGCTGCCGAACAGGTAAGTTACCTTTCCATAATCTCTGAATGTAAGTTGCTCGACAACATATTTACTTTTCTAAAATTACATAATTCGGAGAAACAGATGGAGCCAAAAGACACCGTGCTTCAGGGCAAATCTGAGGAGAACGTTGGTTTAAACATTGTGATCATATGAATGTAGTACACATGATTTGGCAAATCTCCGGTTCCGACTACATTCATCCGTAATATTCATTGATTATCTCTTGGAAACTATACTGTTCAGAAGATCGCATTTACACCATTGAAAATGATCCTTTTCCATGTAGTGATAATGGGTTTGTCCAACGCATTCTCCACATCCTTTAGTTTCAGAAAAGTAGGTATGTCGGTGTTCTAAAAAACCACCGGTGAATTCAACGTTCTGAATCTTTTCATGTCTGTGAAACAGTTCGTGAAGACATCTCAAAATTTCCTGTCTTGAAGCAGCATAATGAAGTATTTTCCAGTGCCGGCTGCCGGTTTGTAAAGACGTCGCAACGCACGTTTATCGCAGAAGATAAGATGTCCAGTCCCTTTCCTTCATGATTATTTCAAAGGTAGTGTTCGGTAAGTTAGATTTTCAGCATGAATTGATCATCATGTTTCGTAGGTTCGATGAAAACCGCGTACATTTGTCAATAAATGGTATTTCAACAAGGTTTTCATTCTTTTCCGAGCTGTTGCAATCGCTCTCATAGCTTTTATCACCAAAAGTGTTC